TATATATATATATATATATATATATATATATATATATATATTATAAATGTGTAAACTTCAAAAGCATGTTTAAGTAATACTAAATGTCTTTAATTACGCTACCTATTTTGTAGGAAAGGCCTCGTAGTGCTAAATATAAGAAAAAATTACAATATGGATTTAACTTTCCTTTTAGCATGTTCTATTTGAAATTTCCTTCTATATTAGTCCATGAAATTATAAATTCATGGAAAATTTCATTTCTTGTTAAATTTTCTTTTTATCCATAAAAATGCATAAAATAATAAAATATATTAATTCTCAAGATCGTTTTTGTGCCCATTTTAAATCATCTACTCTGGGTTTACAGCCAGTAGCTTTTTCGATTATAATTTCTAAGATATACCAAAAACGAAGTTGTTCTAGTGGCCAATTTAACCATCCAGTAGTAATGCAGAAGTAAGTTTCATGTGGTGCAACATGATGTACACGATGATGTTTTCTAGGTAATATAATTCTATGTTCTTGTAACCAGACAACCCAGGAAGGTAATCCAAAATATGTATGTGACCATTTGTGTATCTGGAAAAACCTTTTATGTTATTGCTACTATATTATTTTGCCCTTACTAAATCTAATAAAATGAAAAAAATTTATAGACTTATATATATATATTTCTAACATGAAAAATATAAAGATTATATTTTTGTTTCCAAATAAATATTTTAATAAACAATTATTTAAATAGTAATTTTAAAAAAAAATAATATATCAACAAATTATAATTATAAATTATAAATTTATAAATTTAATTACCTGATTAGTCATTGCTACAAAAATTGCAAGTAAAAACCAATAACAAGTCCATACAAATTTTTGTTGTATCTCTGATTCTGGGAGAGTTAAAAAATCCCATGTTAATTTATAAAGGAATGGAATTGTGACCATGAAATTATCACCATTAGTTTCTATAAAATCATGTCTTGTTATACTTGTTGGATCAATGTGATGTTCTCGAAATGGTCTTAAAAAATTCTAAAAATATATTTAATATATAAATTATAAAAATATACATATATTAATATTTAACATTTTATAATATAAAATATATAAATTTTAAATGCTTTTCTTTCTCTCTTTTTTTTCTTAAATATAAAACAATATTTAATAATTTATAAAATATTTAATAAAGTTTATAAAATAATATTATCCATAATTTAAGATATAAATAGATAAGTTGTTTAATAATTTTTTATAATTTACCTTTCCAAGAATTGGAAGTTCTACAGAGCCCCATGTATCGGCAGCCCAATGAACTAATCCAGATCCAAAATCTGCAGTAACAATGCCACAAAATGCTGCTATTACTATTGAGCTCAAATTTTCTAATCTTAATCTGACAAGAATAAATATTGAATTAATTATAATGAGTGTAATGCAGATGCCAACACAAATGCATTCTTGTGTCCTTTTTCCTGTAATAAAAATATATAATAAAATTAATTATATTAAAATTTATAATTACATTTTAATTATAAAAACCATAATAATAATTTTATGAATAATATATAGATATAAAGATATATATTGTTAGATCGTTCTTTATTTTTGTTCATAGCCGAAAATTCCAAGGTGCGATCGATGTATAGCTAGCATCTTGGCAAGTATTAGAATTAGAAAACATACATATGATAAGTATATGTATCACATATATTTTTGTAGATTTTATATTATAAATATAATAAAATTATTAAGTGATATTTCATAAAATATAAATTAATATATAATATTATATATATTTGAAAAAATTATAAATATTAACAAATATTTAATATTAAGATATTAAAAATACTTCAATATAAAAAAATAAAGAAAAATTTAAAATTATTACCAGTGCTATAAAGATTTGCTAATTCTTGAGCACCCTTGTGATTGGGACCCCATCTCGGTACGGTTCTGTCTTCTTGTGAAGTTGATACCACCGAATTGGCATTGGGATCGTCCTCGAGCATCGAATTCTCGTAGATCTGCCGTTCGGTCTTCACTGGCGCCAAGAAATTTGTAGCCATCGAGCATGCGGCTGATGCCGCTTGGCCCAAGTTCGCCACTTTTATCTCATCCATAATTATAGTAATTATTTTAAATATTCGTCAAATA